AACCCTATATAAGCCTTAAGCCCTAAAGCCCCAACATTCAAGCCGACCCAGGCCTTCCGAAGCGAGTCGGAGAAGCAGTCCTCGGTTGAATCGTCTTGGCCGCCTTTGCCGGTTTTTACTCACGATATGCAGGCCATAAGGTTTAGGGTTTAGGGTTTATGGGTTAGGGTTTAGAGTTTATGGGTTTAGGGTTTAAGGTTTGAGGTTTAGGGTTTGAGGTTTGAGGTTTAGGGTTTAAGGTTTATGGGTTTAGGGGGATCGTTCTGCTTTGCTCGGGAATATGCTCGATAAGGAGCCAAGGGGGTATAGGGTTGCATGGCTTATAGGGTTGCAACTCCATCCAGTAACAGCCCTGTCAAGCCCCTTTGTGCTTCAGGGCTTTCCATTTTTAGGGGGTGTGATGGCTTTCAAATATTCGGTTTTTAAAGTGTATCAGTGTATCACATCGATTCCGGGGCGGCCATTCGCAGAAAGTGTGGAGGGCTCGCCGTCCTTACGTAACCTCAGAGTTGACAGCAGAAGCCATCAAGTGACAAAATCAGACAGGGACTTGTTCTGCTCCGAATACCCATGCTCGTACTTCTGACTTCTACTGTAAGTACACCCCTTGGGACCCTCTGCAGCCTGCATGTCTCGCAAACCATGTGCTGTCATTTGTCTTGTGAGATTATAGATTTAGGGTTTAGGGTTTAGGGTTTAGGGTTTAGGGTTTAGGGTTTAGGTTGGGCTGACCACTGACAAGAGTCATGGCCATTGTCATGTCTTTGTATCGCTGGCAGGTGTTACCACTATTGCTTTTCCGTTGCTTCAGTACGTCTTCCTATGGTCACCCTGCGGCTTTTCCTTCCACAAAACCGACAAAGCCCACAAGCACCGCCACAAGTGTAACCACCACTGCCGCTGCCGCCGCCCCCTGACCACTACGACCAACTTCACCACCACCGACGCCGCCACCACCACACCACCGCCACCGCAGCAAAGGCAATCGTTGCAGCAGCAGTACGACGACGACGACGACTGCTGCTACTACTCCTGCTACGACGACAACAACTGCTGCTACTACGACTACATGCTCTTTCTTCTTGTTGCTGCTGCAGTCCCATGTGCTAGCGCAATGATGACCCCAAAACCCTAAACCCTAAACCTTCAACCCTAAACCCTAAACAGTGTTTTGCTCTGGAGGCCATGGTGCTTCAGATCGTCTTGCCAACGGTGATGAGGATTGACGAGTCGCACAGCGCAGATGGCCGCAGCCTGGAGGACCTGGGGTATAGCTACGGCGAGGATGTGGAGCAGGGAACGGAACCGGATAAATACGGTGGCGAAGTCCGCATCTGGCGTAATGATGCATGGCAAATATGAGCATCACGAGTACTATCACTACGTCCGTCCTGCATGACCTTACATACCTGAACTATGGGATTTATGGTACTATACTATATTTGGGTCATGCAGAATGTTTGTCCATCAACAGTAGTACATACTAGTACTTCTGTTGTGTCTCAAGTCTTCGTGGCCCCAAGCAGTCGAGTTGGGAACGCTAGCCGCTGATAGCGGCTGCAAGTTTCCTTGAGCCCGTTAGACTCTAAGCCCTAAGCCCTAAACCCTAAACCCTCAATCCCAAACCCTAAAACCCTAAACCCTAAGCCCTAAACCCTAAACCCTAAGCCCTAAACCCTAAACCCTAAACCCTAAACCAGATTCAGTTCTGGGTGGAAAGAGCCCATCAGCCTACAGCTCCTCCTCATATTCGCCGTAGGGCTTAGGGTTATAGGCGTCGGAATGGAAAGGCTTTAGGCTTTAGGCTTTAGGCTTCAGGGTTTAGGGTTTAGGCTTTAGGGTTTAGGGTTTAGGGTTTAGGGGTAATATCTCTTCTTTGCCCCGTGTAGATCTATCGTGCAATGTTTCCCAAATCCTTTTTCGAACTCGTGCGCTCCTTTGTTAATTTCTAGTTGCTCTCGTACATCTGATGGTCCATGAGACTGAGAAACCTAGGGTTATTTATTATTGGGGTAATTGTACCCCTAAACCCTAAACCCTAAGCCCTAAACCCCAAACTCTAAACCCTAAACCCTAGTCTAGTAGGGTACTTACGACCATACTTACAACGTCCTTAGAACCCTAAACCCGTCTAGATTCCTTTTAAAGGGAGGCCCTTTGAAGGAGACCCTTCCTTGAAAGGAAGCCTCGAGGTTACCTAGGTCCCTCTTTAAGGAGGTCCCCTTGAAGGAGGTCCCCTTTAAGGAGGTCCCCTTGACGGAGGTCTTCTTCAAGGAGGCCCCTTTAAGGAGCTCCCCTTTAAGGAGCTCCCCTTTCAGGAGGTACCCTTGAAGGGGGTCCCCTTTAAGGAGGTTCCTTTTAAGGAGGCCCCCTTTGAGGAGGTCCCCTTGAAGGAGGCCCCCTTGAAGGAGGTCCCCTTTAAAGTTGCAATTGTCGCCTCTAAGGAGCTGCTCGGCATGGGCAGAACCGAGAAGCTGCGCCAGTTCAAGGCGTTGCAGCTGCTGTCTGCAGATGCGGCTTAGGGTTCTTGTATCAGGGTGACTCTAAGGGTTTATGGTTTAGCGCTTAGGGTTCCTTTGTAAGGGCGACACTCAGGGTTTAGGGTTTAGGGCTTTGGGGTTCCCTCTTGGGGTGACTCTAAAGGGTTTAGGGTTTAGGAGTTCCTTCTTGGGTGACTCTAAGGGTTTGCGCCTACAAGGCGTACTGTGAGGGTGTATTTGGGGTGTAGGGCTTGTTTTAAAGAATTTTAGTTTAGGGTTAAGGATGCATAGGTGCGGTGTGACGAATCTGTAAGAACTAGACTTGTGTTTTTTGTATTATGTAGGTCGGAACGAGTTACATATTGGATTTGAGAAAGAGCATGCGAATCGGCATCGTGGGTCAAGACGACCCGCTATGGCGAGTCTCACAGTCTCCTTGCTGCCGAATCTGTACTGGCTGCGCGTGTTTCAAAGATCGGATGCTGCTGTCGTTGTGGCAGTGCTGGTGGTCGTCGTCGCCGTCGCCAAGTCGTCGGTGGTTGTTGCTTTTGTCCAAGATCCGTATAAGCTGGTGGGTTGCCATCGTTCGTAGATCCCTGAAGCCTAAAGGCCCTCAACCCGAGACTCTAAAATCCTACTGTAAACACTAAACCCCTGTGGCAGTGGCAGGCGCTTGTGACCCAGACCCCCTAAACCCTAAACCCTAAAACTCTCAAAACCTAAAGCCCTAAACCCTAAACCCTAAACCCTAAACCCTATAAACCCTAAACCGTGTGTCATTGCGTCATTGCTGGCTCACGCCGGGATTCTGAGGATCGGGCTGGCCTTTTCCATGTCTTGCGTTTTTGGGGGGTTTACGACTTCTGTCATAAGCCCGGCTCCGTAGAAAATTAAACCCAAAACTCCCCCCAAAGAAACCCTAAACCCTAAACCCTGAACCCTAAACCCTAAACCCTAAACCTTAAAAAACCCTAAACCCCAAAGCCTCTGCCGCAGCTCTCCAGAAGAGGAAGGGATACTGCCCCTGGGCCCCTTCGAGCACCGCTCTCATGCCGGTCCCCTCCGGCACCGGGAGGGGGGTCCCGGGCCCCAGCGCAACGGAAGACCCGAGCCGCGCCTTCGACGAAGCTCCTGGGCCAATTCCCTATTCTCTAAACCCTAAATGTTACTAAACCCTAAACCCTAAACCCTGAACCCTAAACCCTAAACCCTAAACCCTGAACCCTAAACCCTAAACCCTCAATTGTGAAGGTTTTGGGTTTTAGGGTTCAGGGTTTAGGGGGTGGGCTGTTGTGGAGTAAAACACAAGCCAGGGTTGCTTTAAGCGTTTCTTTGGGAGTTCTTGGTAAGGACTTTGATTTATACAGGATTCTCTGAGGGTTTAGGGTCCCGGGTTGTTGAGGAGTTGGGTTTAAGTTGCCATAACAAGGAAGCTATACTATAAACTATGTACTTTAATTAATTATACATATGTATATATATATATATAGATATTATGTAAACATACATATATATATATATATATATAATGTTAGATATTATGTATACATATATATATATATATATATTATAGTTTTTGTTTTAGAAACATTTATTTAAAGACCCTATTCTGCGACCTTACACTGAGTTCCCCCAGCAGCAACCCAGGATTTCTCACCGTCGCCGGCAGAAGACTTGGATCGTGGTCCTGCGATTTCCAACGAGTTCCGCGATCTGGTTGAGCGGCTGGTGCAGCAGCATGTGACCGAGCTGTCCGAGTACAGGACAGAATCAGGCCGTTACCAGCTTGACTTTGGGAACCTTTATCATTTTCCTTTATTCTCCTATAGAGATGCTAAACCCTAAACCCTAAAGCTTAAATCCTAAACCTCCCAACATACGTATTCATAAAGACTTTTGGGAGCCCCCAAACTGGCACCCAGGTTATGGCCACATCCAGGCTCCAGCTCAGCCGAAGCCTTCCCGGTTGAAGAACAGAAACTGGGTTGCAGGAACTTATAGTAGAAGCCCAAAAGTTGGAAACCCAATAGCTTCAATCCTTAAGAGTAATGTATAGGGAATCCCAGCACCATTTGACCTTAATCCGGTTTCCATCTTTTTGGGATTTACTATAGATGAAGTTACCATACTACGGAAACCCTATCATCTACCATGTATCCCCATGATGAAGTTCTTAAACCCTAAGCCCTGAACCCCCAAACCCTGAAACCCTGAACCCAAAGCCCTAAAGCCCAAACCCTAAACCCTAAACCCTGAAGCCCTGAACCCTAACCCCAAACCCCCTAACCCCTAAACCCGAAACCCTAAACCCCCAAACCCTAACCCCAAACCCCCTAACCCCTAAACCCCAAACCCTAACCCCTAAACCCTAACCCCAAACCCTCTAATTAACCCCTAAACCTTAAACCCTAAACCCAACCCCCTAACCCATAAAACCCTGAACTCGAAGTTCCTTCACAGCAACCCAGGAAAGCCTCCTCAGAGAAGGCGCTCAATGAACGCGGAGGACGTCTGGAGGTTAGGGTTTATAGGTTTTAGGGGTTTAGGGCTTGGGGGGTTTGGGTTTAGGGTTTAGGGGGTTTAGGGGTTAGGGGGTTTGGGATTAGGGGTGAGGGGTTAGGTTTGGGGTTTAGGGGTTAGGGGGGGTTATGGTTTGGGGTTTAGGGGCTAGGGGGTTCGGGGTTTGGGTCTAGGGGTTAGGGTTTTGGGATTTAGGGAGAGGGGTTAAGGGGTTTGGGGTTTAGGGAGGGATTTAGAGGGGTCGGAGGATGTCTTGACAGCCTGGGACAATGAGTACAACAACGACAACGGCAACGTTAACCGTCCCTTGGCTTAGGGTTTAGGTTTTAGTTAGGGTGTAGGGTTTAGGGTGTAGGACTTTATCTTTTTTTGGGTGTTTGTATGGGTCATAATCAGGAGGCTAAACGATTAACGTTTGGGAGGGCTTCATAACTCAGCCAAGGTCCTTACTCGATACAGACGACAGCAGATTTCAGCGAGTCTTTGACGACGTCAAAGAACACCAAGTCATCCAAAGGTGGAGATACTTCGCCCTAAATGCACACCTAAAGCCCCAAACCTTAGACCCTAATCCCTGATTCCTAAAACCTCAACTCTAATCCCTAAGCCCTAAACTCCAACCCGAACACCCCTCAACCCTAAACTAAAGCCTCAGTCAAGGTACTTATATGACCATATTCACTAAGCCCCATTATCCTCCAAGTAACCCCTATCCTAAGCCCTAAACCCTAAACCCGAAACCCTAAACCCTAAACCTACAAAAAAGGCCCCCGAAGCAGGTACTGAGTCTGGACCTCCCGTTCCATACGGTTGGCGGCGGCGCCCGACGTTTGAGGAGTTCCAGGACTTCCTGCAGTCCAGCAAGTTTGAGGCGCAGCCCTTGACCGGAACCCTCAACCCTAAACCCGAA